TAAATCATCCTCTGTCATTCTTCACACACTTTTTCTGTCATTTGCCCTCCTGGGTTATATGTTGATGCTTGTGATCGATTCCTCTTTTCTCCCCCCACCTTCCCCTTATCCTCCTGGTATCTCTATTCTCATTGTTGGCCCTGAGGGGTTTATCTGTGTTGGATTCCCTGTGTTGAGGGCTCTTATCTGTAGCAGTGTGCATGTTCTGGTCTAATCCGATTTGTAAGGTAGAATTGAGGTCATGATAGTGGGGGGAATGCAACATTAAGGAACTAGAGGAAAGTTGTGTTTCATTGGTGCTATACTGCACACTGACTGACTCGTCTCTTCCTTGTGACCCTTCTGTGATGTCCAATTGTCTACAGATGGGCTTTGTGTCTCCTCTCCACACACAAACACCCCCATTCACATTGGGTATGATTTTGTTCTGGGTCTCAGATGCTTGATACCTGATCCCATCAACACCTCATGATCACACAGGCTGGTGTGTTTCCTCCATGTGGGCATAGTTGCTTCTCAGCTAGATGGCCACTTATTTATCTTCAGTCCTTTAAGACCCCAAATGCTGTATCTTTTGATAGCCTGGCACCATTAGCTTTCTTCACCACATTTGCTTATGTACCCATTTTGTCTTCAGCGATCGTGTCAGGTAGGTGAGCATCATAGAATGCCGGATTATTAGAACAAAGCGTTCTTGTGTTGAGGGGGTTCTTGAGTCAAGGCCCAATGTCCATCTGAAACCTTAATTCTTAACATATCAATATAAGTACATAGAACTATTCCCCTCTGGTTACATAAAAATATATTTACATGTGTACATGCCTGTATTTAGACCTCTATAAATGTCTTTTGCCTCCTGGTTCTTTCCTTATTTCCTTTTACTTTTCTCTTGTTCCACCATCATGTTTGGCTTTTATTCAGGTTTAGCAATTCCTCGCTGCTACGTTATCCTTGAATAAGCCCCACTAGGCATCCTACGCCCTTCTCTCCATTGGTTTTAGTTCACTTGTTGTCCCCTTGTCCCTGATTTGGTTCCCACCCTCCTTCCTTTCTCCCACTTCCCCTTCTCCTGTATCCCCCTGGAACCATCGGTCCCATTCTTACTGTCTCTGAAAAACCAAGCAAAGCCAAACAAAACAACAAAGGAAGTCAAAACCAACAAGACAATAACAACAACAGAAAAAAAACCCAAACCAAAATAATAACAACGAAAAGAAAGTCACTGACAAAAATGGAAAAGCCTATAAAGGTCTGTTTGTTGGCCTTTACGAGTGTTTTCCAGTCGAGTCTGATGGGGTGCCTGCCACACTCTGTGTCCAAAGTCGATTTTTTGGTATTCCCTGGGGATTTCATCACTCTGCTCCCCTTGCTGCTCTGTTGCATGCTCTGTGTCTCGCCCCAGTGTGAAGGGGTCAGACCGTCGCCCCATCACTTTAACAATTCCTTCTCTACAACCGTCTCTCCATTTAACCTAATCATTGCTGAATTCCGACAATCCCCAGGCCTTCTACTATATCAATCATATCGTTTAAACTCCAGACTTCTTAATTTGGAACTATATAATTAGACCCCAGCCAACTCTTTGACCTTTTTTCTCTCTCTCCGTTCCCATACAAGTTGATTCATTAAACAGAATGTTGTGTTATATGTTGTGTTCCCATTCCTGTGCCTTTGTACACATTGCTTTCTTGTGGTAGAATGCCTGCATCTCAGACAAGCATCACAGTTCGTGTGGTCCAGAGAAAAATGAAAATATGAGACCCTTTGCTCAAAAAGCAGGGAAAAGTGTTGCTAAGGGTAGTAACATGCATAGCCCACCCCACCCTTTCTTGTGTAACTCTTCTGCTCACTTGCATGCTGCACTGTCCTACCGGACTTCCCCGATGAAACACAAGTTCAAAGCTAAAAGTATTAAGAATTTGAGGAGTTTAGTAGCAGAGCACTGAAACAAATATGGGTCCAGTTGCAATCAGAGAGGCGGCATGCCCACAAAAACAGCCTGCCCGCTTCCACACAGGACTTTCTTCATCCTGCCCATCCTTCAGAGCTAAGTCAAATGGATTTCTGCTGGGCAAGTTACGGAAGAGTTCACACTTGGAGTCTCTGATCTGCTCTGTCATTGGCCAGTGTGTCTCTCTCCAGCAGTCTGCACAACTTCTCTAAGAACATCTTTGAGCCTTTTAATTTTCTATGAGTTTATAAGGTGTCCCTAGGTTGTACAAATGGTGAGTTAGTTTATTGTGCCAACCTGGCCAATAAACACGTGGGGTTAATTGAGGTGAGGAGAGATAAATGGCTTGGTGAGCCTCGCCTTTCTAGTTCTCGGGTCTCTTGCTTGGTGATGGTCACACCAGGGTGCAGCTGCCTTAGCAGTTCCCTGCTTCAGCTTGCAAGGCTGACTTCCTGCAAGACATCCCCAAGGAGAAACCACATGGACCTACCCCAATGCAGCCCTGGGTGCTGGAGCAGCCGTGTGGAGACCCCTGCCAGTGCTGAGATGCTCACACATTCACCAATTCAGCTTTCCTCCTGCAGTCTGCATCATTGTGTCTGTTTTGTGAGATGGAGGAGGACTTTGTGGATTGGTGTTGGACATATGGACATATGGGTTAATGTTGGACTTGTGGGCTTGGGCAGCACTGGGTTGGGATGTTTCCTTGATGCACACTTAACCTTTATATAAAACTCTCTCTTATACATAAGTTGCTGTGGATTTGTTTCTCTAAAATACACAGACTAACACAAATGGTTAAATGCTCCCTAGCTGAAAGGATGGTGGATTAACCCCACCCAGGGGTACCTCTATAGACAAGCCTTACACTCTGCTTCTGAAAGGTCTGTTTTGAAAACAGTCTTAAGCAGTTCTACTCTGCACATACACATTGGAATCGACTTGATGGCAACTACCAAACAGCAACGAGTTTGCAAGCTACCTAAGGGCAAAAATTCAGGCCTGATTCAGAAGGGGGCATGGAATAAGGGATATCATTGCTGATATCAGATGGATCTTGGCTGAAAGCAGAGCATCCCAGAAATGAAACAGGTGTTTTATTGATGTGCTAAGTGGACCATAACAAACTCTTGATATCCTTGTACAGGATGGAAATTCCAGAATACTGCATTATGCTCACGCGGAGCCTGCACATGGATGAAGAGGCATTTGTGTGGACAGAACTAGGGAAGGCCGCATGGTTTACAATCAGGAGAGGTGTGCATCAGGGTTGAATCCTCTCAGCATACTTATTCAATATGTGTACTGGATAAGTAATCAGAGAAGGAAAAGACACTAATAACTGAAGAATGAGGCATCAGGTTGGAGGAAGGCTTACTAATAATCTGCGATATGCAGCCTACTCAGCCTTGCTTGCTGAAAGTGAGGACTTGCTGCACTTGCTGATGAAGATCAAAGATGGCAGCCTTCAGTATGGTTTGCAACTCAATGTCAAGAAAACCAAATTCCTCACAACTGGACCAATAGGTAACACCAGGGTAATTGGAGAAAAGGTTGATGCTGCCAAGGATTTCATCTTGCGTGGATCCACCATCCACACTCATAGAAGCAGCGGTCAGATCAAACGATGCATGGGATTGGGTACATCTGCTGCACAAGACCTCTTGAACCTCTTGTTCAAGCACAAGAATGTCACTTTGAGGGCTTGGGTGCTCCTGACCCAAGCCATGGTGTTTTAAGTCACCTCCTACGCCTTTCAAAGTTGGATACTGGATAAGGAAGACCAAAAACAGAATGGATGCAAGTGAAGTACGGTGCTGGCGAAGAATCCTGAGAGCACCTTGGGCTGCCAAAGGGACAAACACATCCGCCTTGGAAGAAGTCCAGCCAAGCAGGCTCCTTAGAATCAAGGACCGTGAGCCTCTGTCTGACATACTTTGGACATGTTGTCAGAAGAGAGTAGCTCTGAGGGCAGGACATTATACTTGGTAAAGTTGAGGGCCGTGAGAAAGAGGAAGGTCCTCAACAAGACACGCTGACCCTGTGGCTGCAGCACGGGGAGCAGGCGGAGGAACATGTGGGAGGATGGTGCAGACCCGCAGGCTTTCCTTCTGTTGTACATAGGTTGTAGGTCGCTGTGGGTCAGTAGGGACTCGAAGGCATCCCGGACAACATCAAGGTCAAGGGGCACATCTCCTGTCATCTTGTGTTCCACCACATGAGTTGCGTGTAATAGCTGCTTAATAAATGCCATACATACTGAAAATGAAAAAAAATGAACCAAAAAGAGAAAACAAGGAAAAGGGCATTGGCGTTGAAGCCCTGTGCAGCTTTGAAGCCTCCAAGCAACACTCTGTTGTTTGCTTGTTTGTTTGTTTTTCCAGAGCAGGAACAACTGTTGACGCAGAAGGGCCAAGGGCTCGCTCGGCTACCCAGGGCCTGCTGGCGGCTCTTTTCAGTGTCTGGAGTGCGCCTAAGGCGGACTGTTTCAAGAATGCTTCCTTCTGGTACAAGTGAGTTTCAATAATGACCACATTTTAAGTTTTAAACTTGAAAATGGTAGGAATCCACATGATTTTTTCAGAGACAGTTATAAGCCTATATTTAAAAATCTTGTTTCTAGGTTAAAGAAACCACTTTGAGAAAAACACATAAAAACAATTTGTTCGTATTTTTGTTTAAAAATGAGTTAAACTTATTTCATGGTACCCCTGTTTTCCTACTGGAATACCCTGCCTTTTAAACCAGCGATCACCACCCCTCCTAGCCCATCACCCACCCAAAGCTCATGGAGCTGCTTTGATAATGAAGTCTATCCACACAATAAAACCTTGAAATGCCCCCACGGTTACCCCAAGAATTAGAATCCAATTTATCTTCCCAATCCAAAAGTCTACCCATGAGAAAAGTACTATTCGGAGTCGAAAAGGGCTGAAGTCCACCTGGGCTTGTAGCAAGAGCTGCTTATTGCCTTCGGTAAGCCCCGCCAGTTGGAATACATTCAAATTGCAAAACGTTCCTCAAAAAAAAAGGCACCACGGACACAGCATCACTAAGAAAGCCAGTAACTTTACTGAATTGTCTGCAAAATACAAATTAGACCTTATTTCCAGCAGGAGAACCTTTGGAAAATTTCCCACTTTGATTCACTACAGACAGCTGAATGAAGTCCCTGGAGATACACAGCTGTGGTTTACCTTAGTTATAACATCTTGTCATCTAGTGGCGACAAAGTCCAGCTTATGCCGCTGTGAGCCTCTATTTGAATATTTGTTGCAAACGCTTGTATGCCCTCATTTACAAGCTATTTTAATTACTGTCATTTAATGGAAACAAGTCCCCAGAAAAAGAAGAAGAAAAAAAAAAAAAAGAAAGATACAGCAAACCATCTGAAGCAATCCAAGTCCTATGCCTCCAGGGACCCAGCTCCACAACCCCCCCGACCCCGGTCCTGGCCCTGCGCTCACGCCACAGCAGACTGCATCGCGTAGCTGACCTGTCTGAACTCCACTGAGGTATGAATCAAGTTGAGGTATGAACAGGGAAGGCAAACTGCAGTACTCAATTAGGACAGTACCCCGAATGGGCAAATTGAATGGAGAAGATATGTGGCTTGGATTGCTCCACATCTTTGGTTAAAACGTAGTAAAAAAAGGCTTTAATGACATCTGTAGTCTGAAGCATTCCCACAGACCCCAGTATCCCATCACTCTTCCAAAGATCTGTAGTGGCAGGAAATTAACGCCACGCAAGTGACGACATTACAGCAGATGGCACACATGAGGGCAGAGGAAGTATGCCACACGGAGGCAACAGCCTCGATTGAGGGTTCAAGTGGCCGCTGCTTCTTAAAAAAAAAATTACAGGAAAGAAATACATAGCATTTACTCTCTGGAAAAACGAACAGAAGGGTAAAAGGTGCAACAACAAAAGACGCGATCTGTAAGTCGAAAGCTAGATATTGAAGAAAAAGAGGCGCATGAAAGTGTAAGAGGACACACTAAAAAAAACTGCATTGGAATTTTCTTTTTAAAAAATTCTCACATTTCCCCCCCCTCATGTTTTAGTCCACCTTGCGATGATCTGAGCATGACACGTATTTTCATATTCATTATTACAAAATGTTAAATCCCACCTCTGGAAAAAAATAAGCCATTTCTTTTCATACTAAAAAACACAATTTTTAAAAAGGTTGCTATGCAGCCTCCACGCACCGATGCATACAATATACAGGTTGTGCAGCTGGTGTATACAGAGCACACTTGTATCAGTCTGTAAGCTCGCAGGGTTACCCCCAAGCTTTAAACACAGGACCAGAGGAGAAAACACTGGTCTTTACATAGAATGCCCCTGACGGCTTCCACGCCCGGTGAAGAATGCTGCCGAAAATGTGACTCTACGTGGGGTTTGCCAGGGAACCCTTCCTCGGGGCTTGCCCGAGTCTCCTGACTACAAAGGGTTTTTACTGTGTAAGACTCCTGAAAACCAAACTAGCTTTGCAAACACAATAAATGGTCCATTACAGATAAGGAATCAGGGTTAAAAAGAAAAGATAGCTTGTTTACAGAAAGTGACTCATCACAATCAGAATTGTGCTTCTGCTCCATAAATCATTCAATCTTTTAAAAAAAATTCTCAGATTATCCCTTCGCGGTCCCGGTCTGGCCACCACTCTCAGTGGGGACGCAAGATGACTGGCATCTATTTCCAGGTGCTTCTGCACTTAGAAAACGACTGTCAGAACGGCTATTAACAGCCAAGGCTTCTGCCGGCATGTTAGTTTACTTTATCTTCAGCTTCACAAATTTACTTTTTCCTTGGTACTGAGGCAAATTGCAGGTAAAAAAATTCATATGGCTATTTCTTCATATTTTCATCTAATGATCCCACCCCACCTACTGGTAAATTTCTGATACTGATAAACTAAAGTGTCTCGAAATGACATATAACGTTGGTGACATGTTTGCATATTTTATATACATCAAGTTATAAGGATGGGATGTAAAGATGGGATCACTTATGGGAAGGAAAATGACTTTCTTAGTTCCCCTGCCCCCTGTGTGCATGTGAGGAAGTGTGTGCGTGTCTGCGTGTCTGTATTTTCGGGGACGATCTTCTGTTTTCCCTCTGCATAAATGTTCTTCTTTCATGTTCCAGGGATACCTTGAGTCGTGGGATAAATGAAATGGCTGATCATTTTTATTCCCCTTTTAAGTATATAAAACGTGAGTACAAGGCAGGCTAGCATCCTATATGGACACAACCAAAGGTGCATTGCGGTCTAATTGTGGATTTCAGACCAAGTTAAGAAAAATATAGCCTCGTTAATAAGATCTATTGGCTTCTGCCACCCAGCGGCAGCCTTTCACAATGAGCAACACATAGCAAATACGCAAGTGAAAGAAAAAAAGGATACGAAACATCCTAAGAGGGATCTGGCAGTGTTGGTATGACTGTCTGTATCTTCTTGAGGTGTATTTCAATGCACGTGACTGGAGATGATTTGACAGATCTTCACATTCCAAGAGGAGGAACATTATTCCTAGACGGAGCTTTTTTTGCTCTCTAAACATGTATCATTTTGTTTATGGCTCTCACTTTTTAAAGGGTCTGGAAGTTAATCCTATCGGCGAGATCTTAGACAAGAGTCATGATATTTTCTTGAAAATTTAAAAAAGGGACATAGAGAGGTTCTTTAATGGGATTTTTTGAAATGGCTATTAAATTTCTTTATTGAAGAAAAAATAGATGACATACATGCTTTATGCAGAAGTGACATTGGGGGGGGGGGGTCCTGGCACATCGGGATTGCTCAACAGTCCTCTCTGGTTGACAAGATTGTCCAGGGTCAGTGAAAATGACTGGCAACAAAGCAACTCTCCCTTTACCTGCTTCCCTCTCGTCTAGCACCCAGTCTTTCACATGTTCCTTCTGTGGGAATTTTCACCAGTCAACTCCATATCACTTGTTTAAAGGGCTGTATTTGCAGGACACGTGCCAGACAGCCGTTTTCTATTCTGGGCATATCTCTAAGAAGCATATCAAAATCTAGGCTGAAAATCAACCCGGTGGTTTCGGGTATGGGCATGGTGTGATATGCACTCACTGAATTCCAAGATGCCTAGTGAAATGGTGATATCAGAAAGGGGCCCTGCATTTGATAAAAAGTGCAACCCCCCCCCCAAACAAACCAAAAGAAACCAACCAGTAGATACAATGGATGTCACATGACCCCGTAGTTTGTTAACGTATTAAAGACAATTTTAGGGTGTTGCAATGTGATATGTTCTAGTCCCACAGGTTATCCTTTTAACAGCTGACCTTGAACTTATAAAATGTATGCAGAGTAAAAGAAAACAGAAGGAAGAGTGACTCAAATGTGCAACTGCACAAATATACCCCCACCCGCTATGAAGATAACAAAACCTCTGCTATTACCATAATATTATATATATTAGAAAGCTATACACAAGCATGTTAATTTCACAGATTTTTTAAAAGATTCTTAATATTTTATATAATTAGAAATACACATTTCAAAAACAAAACTGCTACAAAGAGAAAACGGTTATCTTGGTGAGCAAAGCGGGGAGCTCTTCATGGCTTGGGGCAGTACTGTTCTGTACAAAAGTCCTTTTGGTTTTCCCAGGACTGTTTAAAATATTAGCGAAGCTATGAAGGGGGGGAAAAACCAACACATTTTGGCTTAAGGAAACTACAAAAAGCCACAAATGCTTTGCAAACTCTGTCTTACCTTTTATATGAAAATAAGCAAAATGTAATGTACATATTTTTATAGTTTTATTTATTAAGAGAGGCAGACCCAGATTTATTTATTTAGTTAATTAAATACGTTAGCCCTCAGACTCCACTATGTAAAAAAATGTGTATTTTTAATCGGTATGGCCCTCTTTTGATGGTCTTTGATCGTTTACGAATGCGTGCCCTACGCCCATGGTGCGCCTGCAGGTTGGTGAGCGTTCTTGGGATGTTCGGTGGCCTGGCCTGTTCCTAATGTGTATTTCCCAACGGCCACCCATGGCTGGGTCTGTCCAAAACATCTATACATTTTTCTATATGTTGCATAACAGCTGCTCTCTCTTTCAGTAAAGATCTGCCGCTTTTGGCAAATGTTTCCTTTCATCTATTTACATGTAAATAACGTTGAACCTGCAACATGACACTATCTATTGTAACATACATTTTGCAAAGGAGCACAACAGTGAAAAGAAGTTAGCCTTAAAATCTATTTTGTACAAGTGTCCTGTTGTACAACTCAAGTGCTAAGCTGATCTCAGCATCTCTGTTTAATCTTTATACTGTATCACTGAGGCAATTTAAAAGTACTTTTACAAAACAGAGTACCTTTTTTTTTTTTTTCCACACACGGCACATATAATGCATATCGACCCCCCCATCCCCATTAAGGTATAGCACACACACACTGCAAGGAAAAAAAACAAACTAGTAAGTAATGATCTGATCATGTTGCCCATCCTTCAGAGAGCCGCATGCGCTTGACTGAGGGGCTCTCCCGTTCGTCCGGCGAAGGCCTGCTGAGTCCGATCGGGGAGTGGAAGTCGCTGCGGTGGTCCTCGCGGTCGCTGCCATCGTACGAGCTGCTGCAGCTGCTCAAGCTGTCAACAGGAGATCTGCCCGCCTCGTGGCGCGTGTGGGGTGCGTATCTCGAGGGGGTGGTGGTACGGTCTCTAGGAGGAGAAACAGGTTCTGACTTGATGCTGAGGCTTTGAGTAGAAGGCAGGGAGAGATTGGAACTCTGAGATAAATGAGTGCTAGTGCAAGGTCTGTAGGAGGAAAGGAAACCCAGTTACCGATGGAGGAGGCCTGGCGCCCCCAGGACTCACAATCACACAAAACATCGCGCAGACACACCCGAGCATGCCCAGGGGTGGGGTGGGGCGGGGGGAGTGGGCACCCCGTTCTTCAGGGTGATTTAGGGAGCCTTTGCTGACCTGCCCAGGAGGAATTACCGGATGTTACAGGTGGAGCCTCAGGAATGTACCTCTAGGCTCTGACAGGGCTCCCCCAAACACACAGCCTCCCGTTTTAGCAAGGGTAAGCCCCGCACGCTGGGAAAATGATTTTCTGGGTCTATGGCATTTTCTCTCTACACTAGTTCCAACATTCAATGTTGCAAACCTCTACATATCGTCTTCTCTTTTTGAATTAGATTCCTTTGGCTTCTTGATAGCTGTGCTTGAAGAATTATTTCACAGTGTTTATTGTGGAGGCAAGTCTTTCCCTAAACCTAATAAGCACATACGAAGTACGCTATAAGTTCTTAGGAGGGAGTGACGAGATGTCACATTTCAAATGAACAAGACTTATAATGGCACAGGACGATCCTATCAGTTGAATGGCTGGGAGAGGAGAAGGTAAGGGGAGGGAGGATGCTGAAAATAATCGGTATATAAACTTCAAACATCGGTTCAAAAATAGATGTTCTTTCCCACTGACACATGAAAAATGTGATTCTCCATCCTTCCACAGGTGAAAATATGGCTGCTTTCACAGCCCCCGCCTGACAACTACCTGTTTGCTCTTATTTGCTAACCCCCTGCTGAAGCACTGGGACACCACCTCTGTATGTTTCACTGGCATTACTTGGCAAATCTGGGTTTGCCAAAAAAAAAAAAGAGAGAGAGGAAAAAAAGGTTGGTGTAAAGAACCTGTGATTTTACTGTGTTTATACTCCTAAAATCTCACAGATTCCTGGAAAATTTAATTTTCCCTTCTTCTAAAATATGGGAGAATTTGGATATCTGAAATTCTGGAAGGGGGAGAAACCCCTACGTGAATCCTAAGTGCAGGCCAGCAATCAATCACAGGGACTTTGATCAAACCCAAGTAACACTGCCACACCCATATCACTGCACTGCCATTCTGACTGGTCGGACATCCTGGCCGGGGGGGTGGGGGTGG